GATCCCTTGGGTCCCCAAGATGGATCAGCACTTGGGGATACAAACTGTCCTTGGGCTCAGGATGCAGCTGCCAGCACAGATTTCCCTGCAAAGTCTGCAGTGAGTCAAGTTCTGCAGAGGAAATTGTGCCCCATGGATGGGATTGCAGAGTCTCCGTGGCCAGGCACAGTTTGTGTTCCTGGGTGCCCACCATCTCAGCACTTGCAACCGCTCAAATCAGCGCCCGCAGCTCTGCAGCAAAGCCCCAGCTCACCTGGCACACAGGGGATGGACACAGCACCTGCTCGGGGATGGGCATTCACAGCTTTGTCTTCTTCCCCACCACGGGGCTCTCCTTCCTCAGCAGCACCTCTGCCTTGCACTTATTCTCAGCCTCCCCTCAGGGACAGCTCTGGGCTCACCTCCACACCACTTCTCAGCCTCACCTCAGGGCCTGGGCTCAAGGACAGGAACCTGCAGGGAGGGGACATCATGTGCAAGCTGAGGGCTGCCTGCCTGCACTGCACTCTGGGCTTCTTACTCCTTCTACAACCAGCCCAGAACTTAGCCTGCTTTGCTAACACCACACACATTTACAGACTAACCCTGGAGATAGATATGGACAGACATCTCTATCACCCTGTGGATAGAGCCTCAAGCATGGGCTGCCATAGGAATGGGAATCACAGAATCAGCCACGTTGGAAAAGACCTCCGAGATCATCAAGTCCAACCCCGGATCCAACCCTGCCGTGCTTCCCAGCCCATGGCACTGATGCCACATCCACTCTCACCTTCAACACCTCCAGGGACGCTGACTCCACCCTGCCCAGCCCATTCCAAGGCCTGATTACTCTCTCAGCAAAAAATTGCTTCCCAATATCCAACCTAAACCTCCCCTGGCACAGCTCAAGACCCAGCCCTCTTGTCCTACTGCTGCTTCCTGGCAGAACAGCCCCACCCCCACCTGGCTCCAGCCTCCTGGCAGGGACTTGCAGACAGTCAGGAGGTCTCCCCTGAGCCTCCTCTTCTCCAGCCTCAACACCCCCAGCTCCCTCAGCCTCTCCTCACCCCACTTGTGCTCCACTCCCTTCCCCAGCCTCGCTGCTCTTCTCTGCACCTGCTCCAGCCCCTCCAGGGCCTTCCTCAACTCAGGGGCCCAGAGCTGGACACAGCACTCCAGGGGTGGCCTCACCAGCGCTCACTCCAGCCCAACAATCACTTCCCTGTTCCTGCTGACACACTCTTCCTCACACAGGACACCAGCCATTGGCCCTCTTGGCCACCTGGCCACACTCTGCCTCCTCTTCAGCTTCCTGCCCATCCACACTCCCAGCTCCCTTTCTGCCTGCCTGCTCTCCAGACACTCTGGCCCCAGCCCGGGGGGCTGACGGGGCTTCTTGTGGCCAAAGGGCAGGACCCAGCCCTTGGCCTGCTTGAACCTCATCCCCTTGCAATCAGCCCATGGATCCTCTGCAGAGCCCATCAACACACCCCCAGCTTGGTGTCAGCTGCACATTTGCTGATGAAATGCCTGGTTCTGCAGCAGCTGCAGATGCTCAAGGGGCAGCAGGACCAAGTCAGGGGCCTGGGGGGGTCTGGGGGGATTTGGGGTCCGGGAGGGTCCTGGGGGAGCTAGGGAGGGGCTTTGGGGATTGGGGGTACAGACCAGGACAGACCAGTACAAACCAGAACAGACCAGGACAGACCAGGACAGACCAGTACCTCCTCACTGCTCCCCAGATCTCTCCTGGAGCTGGACCACGTTGTCCTGGGACACCTGAGGCCCCCCAGTGCCCTCCCAGTACAGCCCAGTGCCCCCAGTACAGCCCACTGTGTTCCTGTCCCAGGGTGCCGGGTGATCCCTCTTTGGGGGGGATTGGAGGCATTTCGGGGGGGGCTAGGGGAGATTTCAGGGGATTGGGGGAGGGGTTGCATGGGGATTTGGAGGGTTTTGGGGGGCTTTGGGTGCACTTCGGGGAGTTGAAAGGGGTTTTGAGGGGGTCAAAAGGATCTGTGGGGGAAGGGGATTAAAGAGAAAATGGGGGTTAGGGGACAGCTTTCCCTGCATTTTTCCACAGCTAAAGCAAGTGTGGAAGGGGCACTTGGCCCCAGGCAAGATGCTTTTACAGCCACTTTAAGCAGTCCAGAGTGGATCTGGCTGGCAAATGGGATTATGCCCATACTTTCAAGGAGGATTTCCACAGTACATTGAGGGGAAACATTGAGGGCCATTTATTAATCTACTGAAGGGATGAGAAGAGGGGGGAGCAGGTGCTGTGGCCCCAGAGCTTCTCTCTGCTTTGGGTGCAGAAGCTCTGTGTTTTCCTCTGTCCATTGAATTCCCAACAAAGAAGGAAAAAGCTACAGGAACTCCACTCTGGAGTGGTCAGGACATGTGGAAGCAGGGGAATTTTTCTTCCCAGCTGGGATTGAGAGTGCAATTTCACACTCCTTTGGAGAGCATTGACTAAGACATCCCATTTCTGCCCAGGGATCTTCCAGTGGGAACTCAATCCGGGCTCTGGGCAGGTCCCTGCAGGGGCAGCAGCTTCCTCTGCACATTTGAGGGGATAAAGCTGCTCTAAACCTGCACTCCAACTACTCCACAGCAATTGATGACCTCTGAGGACAGTTCCTCACTCTTTTCACCCCAGCAGAGACCTGAACACATCCTATGGGCACTGTGTGACCATGTCTGGCATTAACACCCTGCAGAGATGAAGACACTGACTGTAAAGACACTTGTCTACCTGTAAACCTCAACTTTCTTTGCTACTACACAGCAATAACATTTTCTATTCATATTGCAGCTACGGACTTAATAAATAGAATTGCATATATTGTGCTTTAGAAATTAAAATGCATTCCAAAGTCAGGCAATGCTAAACAATGAAAGTCTCGAACCCTCCCCCCAAAACCAGCCCCACTTTCTGGTTTCAGAACCAGCCCACTTCTTCACTCTCTTCACAAAGGGAGAAACTCTCTCTTTCCACCTCTGAAACAAAAATTCCCTCCCCAAAAGTGATCAGAAAGAGTCTACTTAGGCACTACTGCAAATTGAAGTTGTCTAATAAGCATTCCTTCTAACTCAGGAAGGGGAGGAGATGAAGGAAGTCACAACAAATGTTTGGATTCCTTCCTCTTCAACGTCTTCTCTTCCCTATCTGATGCTCTGGGACGTGTGCAGGGGGTTCAGCATCTCTCCAAAGATGGCTCCTTTCACATCAGAGCCCCTCAAATTGGCTTCCTGGAGGTCACAACCTGATAGGTCCCAATTGGGAAGGGGAAAAGAAAAAGAAGTGTCAATGGAATGCACCCAGAACTCTGTTCAAAGCTTTACTGGAAGTCCATTTACCTGAACTCCATTGTACTCTGAAGCTGGAGAGATCAGCCAAAAGCCAGCAATCCCCCAAATTACCAGCTGACTATAGGAGAGAAAGGAATAGGATGGAAAATGAATCCCAACTCACTTCCAAATCAGTTCCTGCCAACGTTGCTCCCCTGAGGTTACAGTTCTTTAGTTTGGGGTTTCTCAGCGTTGCAACTCGGAGGTTCATTCCTGTCATCTGACTGCCCTCCATGGCCACTCCTTTCAGGTTGGCACCTGGAATACACACAGAAAGGAGTTCTGTGAGGAAAAACGGTCAGTAACACAGCAGCTGCACACTGGGGCTGCCTCAGAGCTGTGTGAATTGGAGGAGGACAAGGGGATTTCGGGCTGAGATGGTCACAGACTCAGGGCAGCCCTTGTGGGCCCTTCTCAGGGTTGGACAAACCACAGCTGGACCTTCTCTGGGCCATAGAAATGCACAAACACAGGCTTCAGTTGGCACAGATTGACAAGGCAAAAGCTTCTTACCTTCCAGATTAGCTTCAAGGCCTGATGGCTCCTCAGAGTTGCAGCCTTTCAGGGACGCTCCCTCTGCGTTGGAGCGCAGCATCTTCACCCCTGGCAGGTTGGCACCCTGGCACAGACAGGAGTCACTGAGAGCCAGAAGAACAACACCAAAGACAATCAAGAAGACACTTTTAATTTCTGCTTTGGGAGTCAAACCCATTAAATCATTACTGGGAGGAAGTGTAAAAGCTTTGGGAACCAGAACAACTCTAGAATATATTTAAGAACTCGATGTTTTACACCCCTCTGTTTGTTCCAGCTCCTCTCTGTTAAGACAAGCCCAGCCCTCCCAAGCTGCAGCAGCTCTTCCATCCAGCACAGAGCCTGACAGGTCAGCCCTCTCCAGGCTGGCACAGCACAGGTTGGCACGGGCCAGGTTGCAGCGGCTAAGATTGGCCACCTTGAAGTTGATGTAGCAAAGATCCAGGTGGGAAAGATCCGCTCCACTGAAATTGAGACCCTGGAAATCCCAAGGAATAAACCCCCCAAAAAGGTTACAGAGGGGAAGGGGTAGGTCTGGACACAAAGTTAACATCATTGTGTAGATAGGTGTGCATTAATATTTACAGTGTATAAATATCTAGGTATAAACATATGGATAGAAATGTATTAAAATATATCCTGTCTATAAATATACACGGATACAAGATAGATACAGACACACACAGGTCCTGGGAGGAGCTGAAGATACCCCACCAGGGAAGGGGGCTATAAAAAGGAGGGAGAGGGACTTTTGATATGGGCCTGGAGGGACAGGACAAGGGGCAATGGTTTTTAGACTGAAAGAGGGCAGGGTTAGATGGGAGACTGGGAAGAAATCCTTCCCTGGGAGGGTGGGGAGGGGCAGGGATGGAATTCCCAGAGAAGCTGTGGCTGCCTCTGGATCCCTGCAACTGTCCAAGGACAGCTTGGATCAACCTGCTCTAGTGGAAGGTGTCCCTGCCCATGGCAGGGGGTGGAATGAGAAGACCTTTAAGGTCCCTTCTAACCCAAACCAGTCCATGATTCTATACAGACAAATACACACAAGACCATTTATTCTACTACTTCAGACTAATGAAATCTAAATGCAAAGCTCTCAAAAATTGGCCTTGGTTCATTTTACATTTACACAAATTGCTCCTCCAGGAAAGCTTCCCCCCTAAAGCAGGAATGCAGCCCAAACCACCCTGGAATTCCAAGCCAAGGTCACTGTGCCACAGCTCAGAATCCAAACTCAGTTCAAGAGAACACATTGTTTGCATTTCACGTGTCCACATTCCAGCACCAGACACCAACACTCCAGAGAGGGACAGCACATAGGGGCAGTGGTTTTAATATAAAAGAGGGAGGTTTAGAGGAGATGTTGGGAAGAAATTCCCAGGATTTTGTTAGAAAGAGAAATGTGTTCTCACCTGACAGCGCAGCTCGGACTTGGGGGGTGTTGCCAGCAGGAACCGGACAAACTCCTTCTGAGAGGTGGGACAGTGATCCTCAGCTGGCTGGGAATTCTGTTGGGAATGTTGTTCAACAGCTGACACAGACAGCACTAAATTACACATCCCCTGCAAGAGCAGGGCAGGTGCATTCAGCTCTCCAAACAAATTACCTTCAGGGCTATTTCCAGGTGTTTGATTAGCAAATCAAAACCAAAAAACCTGGCTTTCTGCAGGACACCTGGAAACAAAGAGTTTGTTATTTCCAGGGAACTGTTAATGCAGAAATCACCCTTCTCCCTGCTGGAGAACAACCACAGACGTTGTATTAGATGTAACTGGGCAGAGGAAAAGCTTGCTTGCAGCTAAAAGGAAAAAAACATACAGCCAGGATGTTTGGAACACCAGCATTGGGTTAAAGGTATCAACTCCAGAATTCCAGCCAGACATGAATCCAGGATGGACAACTTTTAATGCTCCCAAGATAAACAAAGAGCCTGTCTTCATTAAATCAAGCAATCTTCATTAAATGAAGTAATCTTCGTTAAATCAAGCAATATTTTTCTTAAATCAAGCAATGTGGAGCTGCAACGCTCGAGAATAAATCCCGAGGAAATAGACTCCAAAGAAAACCACGGAGATGAGCACACAAAGGTCCCTCTGGCTTCACCTGGAGGGCAAAGCTTAACTCCCAAAGAGGAATAATTCAGATGTCAGACAGGTAATACCTGCCTAGCAAATCAATGCCATCATTTACAATGAGCTGTCCGTGACATAAATAGTTCAAAATGGGCTCAAAATACTCGGGACTGTGGTCAGTTAGGAATGATCCTCTATGATCCTGCTTGTTCCCCCAAGCATCTGTTTCCACAACATATATATATATATATATACATATACAATTAAATTGGATATATTAATATATGGAATTAAATTTGATCTATTAATAGAAGAGCATTTGCTTCACTTGCAGAGTTTTATTACCAAAGGCAGCGGGATGTGAAAATTCCACGTGTGAAAGGGTGTTTTGTAAAGGAAGGAAAAGAGGAGTGGGGGGGGGAAATCACCTTAAAATGAACTTGTTGCTGCTCTAAATAACTAAAATATTTTATCAAGTGCATAAGAATAAAAGCAGCACTAAGGTTTGAGTCTGACTGTCTCCCAAAGGCTGCCCCAGGCAGGGTTTGCTCATGGATTCTCCTGAGGAAACTGAGCAACAGTAACATGAAAACCTAAAAACAAACAAACAAAACAAAACAAACAAACAAAAAAGCACCCAAAATACCAACTGTGGATGGAAGTTGTATTTTCACTTTGTGAGATGATAAACAGGTGGGCAACAGAGAAATAAAGAATTATTAAAAAAAATAATTTTATGTTCTGCTTTGGTACTTTATTATACTTTTGATATTTTAGATTCTCAGCTTGACAGTGCCTTTTGCCTACTTTGCTAATTTATTACTTAAAAAAAAAAAAGTTTATTTCAATATACTCCCCTTTATCTTTAAACATGTGGGCCAACATGCTGTCAGGTTCTTTGTTAACCAAAGTGCTTCTAGAAAACAAAGGCAGTGCAATTTCACTTTTACTTCCGATAAAAAGTGTTTATAAATTGATTTCTTGCAAAACTGTGGTGGTGAACACAAAATACAGAGAAAGTGGCAGAAGTCAAAGACCTCCTACTTCATAAGAAGTTATTTTTCAAGCTCTTTTGCTGCATTGAAATCAAGTTTTTTTGAGACTAAGAGCATTTTGACCTTGTAGTGGTGAAGTACCTGCCTCCCACTTTGGGTGTCACCCTGTGTGGGACCCTGTCAGCTCCTCCTGAGCTTTCCCATCACTCTGGGACCCCCTAAAATACTCCTGGGACCCCCTTTTTGGGTCAAAACCGTCCCTTTTGGGCAAAAATTCCCATTTTTTTTGTGCCCGAGGTGCCCGTTTCTGGGTCAAAACTGCCCCTTTTTTGCCCCAAACTTCCCCTTTTTGGTCCAAACTCCCTTTTCTTTGTTCAGTTTTCCCCTCTTTGCCTCTTCTTTTGTTCTAATTCCCCCCTTTTCTGGCCCAAATATCAATCCCAGGACTCTCCGAGACACTCCAAGCCCCCTCAGGGACCCCCTAAGTCCCCCTGGGACCCCCCCAAACCGCCAGATATTGATTCCAGGACCTCCCAGAACCCCCAGCTCCCATCAAGAACCCCCCAAACCCCATCAGGGACCCCCAAACACCCCCAGGATCCTCCAAACCCCCTCAGGGACCCCTCAAACACCCCCAAGACCTCCCCAAACCCCTTCAGTGCTCCCCAAACCCCATTTTATCTCCCCTAAACCCCCCACGGACCCCTTCAACCCCCCAGATATCAATCCCAGGACCCCCCAGCCCCCCCCC